TGGCCGGTTTGCATCTGTAAGAAACACAAACAAAAAACAGCCCCCCAACTGCATATTTAATAACACAAATAAATAGCCAACTTTTCTCTGAATAGTAAGTTACTCAATGTTACTTTTATGCAGCATCTGCAGATTTGTGTAGAAATACATGAAATACATCAGCGATTCACATTGTAAAGTCATGCAGTGTGTAACCTCCTGTCGTCGTTCCATCGTGCAGTGTGAACACAGCAACAACTGAATGCTACCCCAGATAGTCGTTCAGTGTGAAACCAACAGAGATGCGACGTCTTTGAAAATCGTGCAGTGTGAACTCGGCATAATGTGCTCTTACCGTGTTTCTCACAGGTGTGGGCTGTCTCCATCTCCCTGTTTCTGCATCTGCGCCTGCATCTTAACGATCATCTCCTGCATCCGCCTCAGCTGAGAGACACACAAACAGAGTCACACACAGACCCTCACACGCAAACATTCGTGTTATTAGCGTTCAGCTTGTGTTTGGTTTGAGAGATCCTACCTCAGCCTCCTTCTCCTGCAAGATTATGTCCTTGTCCATTTCCTCTGGCTCCGGACCTTTCCTGCACGACACAAAGCAAGTGTAAAGAGACACACAGCTGTACTGAGGCTTCACAGTTTCTCCTAGTGTCAAAACAAAACTGTCAATTGTTTAAAATGTATAAAAAATAAAAATAAAAATGTAAATGAAATGTGATGGAGCTTAATTATTCAATTAATCAAAATTCAATGCATATAAATATTTGCTGAGAAAAGCTCTCAAATTAATATATATTAATTTTATTAAATAATAATTTCGATAATAGTTTACATAAAGATATTCAATGATTAGAGCAAGGACATCAAATAATAAAAAAAAAGCATATACGTAAGTGCCAAGCATATTTTAGTGGAATAAATATATATTCCACTTAAATATACCTAACACTGAAGATATTCTTGTTCCGATGACAGGAAAATGATTGCAGCAATATCTAATAATTTAGCATAAAATAATTTAATAATAACACTATCAAATTATTAGGACTATATAGAACAAAAATATATATGAATAAAAATAAGATTTTGCAAAAACATTCAACTGCTTCAAAGACCGAAAAATAGGGGACATGAATTGTTCATTTTAAATAAATAAATAAATGACAGCTCTTAAAATTACACAGCATTTACATCAATTACCAAAATATTTGCTAAATGATCAAAACTGTGATTTAACATATGACAGGACAAAAACTGTGTTAGTAAACCACCAGCAGAGTGTTTTGCATTGCAGAGTTTAGGCAAGACGAGAAAGACGAATCCAAGTTATTAGCGCAAGCGTGTGATAAGCGGAGCAGAAGTATTTGAGTATTTGCATGCGTGAGAGTGAAATAGAGTCTATGTGCAATAAGAAGAGCAGAGCCAGTGCTAGCGTCAGGCTAAAGGATGACTGAGCTCCCAGCAGTACCTCCCCCTCCTATCCTCTGACGAACACAGACCTGACAGCTCGCTGCAGATCCATGAGACTATTTCAAGCTCTAGAGTGTATGGAACACAGTTTATCAACTGATTAGGCTAAAACCAGACAAAGCAATGCTGCTCTTCTCCTTTCGTTTCTGCTATCAAGTTACTATTTATATTTGAATTTAACAAAAATGAGAAGTGACTATGTAAAAATTTGCTATTTCAATACATCTGCTTAGTGTTGCCAGGTTTGGGCTATTCAAATAACCTGTGGCTACACTCACAAAGCTCTGATTTTTTTCATGGAGGTTGAGGGAGCAGGTGGAGAAAGGCAAGCAGAGCAGTACGTACGCAGGCGACAAAGGCAGAATGTAACCATGGGAGGACAACCTGCCGCCCCGTTTGAGGCGCTCTGAGCGGAAGTTCTCATAGTGAAGGTCCTGAGTGACTTCTTGCAGGTCCTGCATGTGGGTGCTGGATGGATGACAATAACCATCAATAGAAAATAATGACAGTGACTGAGAAAACAGAACATTGTCTTGAAAATAAGGCTGAGAGGGACAGAAATACACTCCATTTAATTTGTTTTACTGTTTAAAGGTACAACTCATGTGTTTTGAAGACTAAACAATCAACTCTAATTTTCTTCACAGCCTCATTTTTATTTTAGAACATTGAACAGCAGATAACTTCAAATGACTTACATTAGCATGGTGCGAAGTTTGAGGAAGTCATTGTGTTCTGGGTTTTCTACCTCCACCACACCCCATGGATACAAACGCCCTCTCACTTTCTTCCCCTTAGCCTCAATCTGCTGGTTGGATCCCACCACGGCAAATGGTATGCTGGTCTACAACACAAAGATGAAAAGGAACTTTGAAAAGCAAAGCAAGCGGCCTAGCTTGGATGCAGTCTCCTGAAGAGCAGGTAACAGTAAGCATCAAGTGATCACAAAAACTACAATTCTGCCATTTCTCACCCTCATGCTGGTCCAAACCTGTCTGACTTGTGTTTCGCAATTCAGTTTCAATTACAATTCCCAAAACCAGTGTGAATAATTCTCACTAAATGCTCACCAAGAGTTCGACTCAACAGTTTTTATATATTTTAAACTGTAATTTATTCCTGTGATGCAAAGCTGAATTTTCAGCAATCATTACTCCAGTCTTCAGTGTCACATGATCCTTCAGAAATCATTCTGATTTGGTGCTCAAGAAACATTTATTATTATCAGTGCTGAAAACAGTTGAGCTGCTTCATATTTTTAGGATTCTTTGACCAGAATGTACTTTTTTAATGTTATAAATGTCTTAATGTCACTTTTGATCATTTGAATGCTTCCTTGTTGTTTTAGAATTAATTTAGTAGCAATTTCTTAAACAATAGTAATAATTATAAGGGATGTCCCGATCAGGTTTTTTGTGCCCCGATCCGATCGGAGTCATTGAATATTGAGTATCTGCATGGCATGCACATTTCTTCTTTTGGTTTTAATGGTGGCTGAACACATATATTTGAGAGCTTCTTTTCCTTTTAATAGCGCTTGGCGAATCTACTGGAAGGCGAATACTGCCACCTACTGCACATCACATAAAATAAGAATCAGGCTTAGGAGAGCCGATAAGGATCACTGTAGGAGAGTTGTATCGCATGTGATGTCAAGCCAAAGCTCAGGATTTATGTGCTCGCACTATAAGGTCTGTTCGTAGAGTTGCACGAGTCAGGATTTGGCTCAAAATCAGACAGAAATATGCCCAGCCTTTAAAATAAAATGCTTGATCAGCCCCGATCGGCTCGGGACATCCCTAATAATTAAAACAATAAATAAAATCTTACTAAACCTATACTTCTGAAGTAATGTATGCTTATGGTGCTTTTGTATTTTTTGGGGAGTTTGAAACATGGGTTTAGAACAACATGAACGTGAATAAATTGTGATATTTTTCCTTTGGGTGAACTGTCTCTATCTTATATGAGAGGGGAAAAAAACACACAGTAGTGTGAACATTTGCTAAAAAGCTTTAAAAAATAAGGACTGTATTTGATTTCAGACTGTTTTATTTTCCATAATAGTTGATAATTATGAATTGTAAACAGTTAAAACTGTAAAAAAAAAAAAAAAAACAGCACATGATTAAACACTTGCAGAGAATTTACATTTTAAGTGCCCCATCCCTATAACAAATCTGAAAATGTGCATCACAATCTGTATAGATCAGACTGAAATGATCAGGATCTTTTTAAACTTCAACCACTTGTTTGTAATGCTGGTATCCTTCTGTAGAAATGACAGGAATGTTCTCCATATTATCAGAGTCAGTCTCCTTACGCTCTCAGACAACTTAAATGTTAATGTTTATATGCATATTTTGCAAAATACTGTAACTAACATTTTTGTTTCTTAAACTGAGTTTTTTTTAAATGGGAAAAAGAAATGCGAAAAATATTCAAAACCAAGGACGCTGAAAAAGTGGGAGGGCACTGTTGCACTCTACAACAGCAGTGTAAAGGCAGCAAAACATGGAAAATGCACCAGGCCTTCCAGTAAAAAGGCTGAAATGGTTTTAACACACATGCTAGTGATATACTCTGTTGACTTTGATACAAAACCAGGGCATTAGAATGTCAAGTTTCACTTGTATAAAAGTTACTTGACAGCATACATTTCCTTTTTCAGATACAAGCACTTCAATATCCTCTCTTTGCTGTTTCTGCGCTCAAGTGGGTCAGGGAGCAGTCAGGAAGAGGTCACACATGTTTCCTGTCTCACCACTTCCACTAGCAGAACAGCATTCCCAGAACTCACAAAAAGAAATAAGAAACCCGTTTCCTTCATTCCTCCACTGCACTCTCT